ACAAGAATTGAGCAGAGTTCATTCTTGCATTTATCATTGTGTTACATATCACTCCAGTTTGCAACATAAATATTCTTCAGGCATGATAGTACCCAGTCTATCAGCAATCAGTCTGCAAACAAAATGTAGTAGATCTATATTATTATTGTAAATGAATAAGATGATTGGACTAACACCAATTGGCACTAATAATCTCAACACAAATAATCATAAAAAGGAGAATGAAGAGAGGATAAAGTCAAAGAAGGGAAAATCACACAGGAGAGTAATTAATAATTAAAGCATGCACACACACTAAGGAATATTATATATGTACAACCACAAAAGGAGAGCACATGTAAAACCACAACTATAATGACATTTACATAAAATAATAACATAATTAAAACAATGCATGCACAGTACAGTGTATGTATGTAAGCATGATATCAAATAACACTCTGACAGTTATTCAAAAATTATTGACAGAAGATTAACCAATATAGAGCACTATAACGTATTTGCTTATAGATTTAATTATAGAAATTAGTGGTGAATAATATTCACTATTGGTAGTGGTTTGTGTGGTTGTTCTTTTCTGTGTCTATCAATCAATGTCTTCTTTTGATCTTCAAGAGTATCCACCAGGAGTGTACTTTCAGTATTAATGTCAATATATTCAAGTGATGGATGGATGAAGATAGCTTCATATAAATGTTGTACTAGTTCTATCCAGTTAGGTTGAGATGACTCTGTATTAATATATATGCACACTATCCTCAGTAGTCTGATGGTTGTATGTGACTGTAACATGTTAGTAACAGCAGGTAGTACCTTTTCATAAAACAATGGTGTCATTATTTGTTCCTCCTCTTTCTCACTACAGTTACTATACGACTGATCTGGTATAAAGTTAATTTCAATTTCTTTGACATTGTTCTTTTGGGAGATAACATTAATAAAAGCTCTTACCTCTTCATTCAGTGGAATGGATACACTCAACTGCTGTAGACTGGTGTTGTGTCTGAGACCAGTTGTTAGGAAGGGCAGGAATGAACTGGGAATTTCATCGCTAATCTCAAGGTATTTCAGTGTTCGGTTTTGTGTTAGCATGTCTTGTAGACTAGTACCCATACTGCTGGTATATACTCTCTCCTCCTTTATCTCCACACTCAGAGCTTTAAGTGTAGTATTGGTTTGTAGAATAGTAAATAGTTCAATAGCACTCTCAGCTGTGTCTAGTGGTAAAGTAAGTGTATGTAGACTGGGATGAGAGAGAAATAGAAGATGTGGTGGGTATGGATCAGGTAGTATCAGACAGTGTAATCCTTTGATATGTGGAAGGAGTGATGTCATCAGTTTTCTACTCCTCCACCTTCCTATCTCTAGAGCAGCCAGTGGTGTGCTCACCTCTACTATATTCAGTGATGATGGTAAGAGGTTAATATCAGGTATGTTCAGTGAAAGAGCTTGTAACGTGTTGTTGTCCTTTAGTAACTGCTCTATTACTCCATCAGGTAGAAGAGGAGGAGTACTAGGAACATCTAGTGTTAATGATGTTATTGCTTTATTTCTTGTTACTCCTCTAATGACACTGATAACCATATTGCTTGTTGTTTCATTCAATTGACTATACTCAATCTTCATTTCTTGTAGTGTTAAATTCATTTCTATAAATTCCTCAAGTTCAATGCACTTGTCTGTGTAGTCTGTACTGCAAAGTGTTATAGTAGGTTCCATCATTATTAAGTGCAGTACCTTTAATTGAGGAAGATTGAGGAACTCTAACAATACAAGACAAGGATCATATTGGCCAGTATGTAAATTACAGTAGCATTCTTGAATATTGGAAAGAAATGATGATTGCGATAAATTGTTTATTAATAAATTAGTGGATCCTTTCAACAATGCATTCAGTCTCTTACACTGGGTCTGTAGTGAGTTATTGGCTAGTCCAGCAGTCAAGACTGATAGTTCCTGGTTAGATACAAGCCACAGGTCCAAGTGATTCCATGTTGTGTTGGAATTGTTTATACAATAACTGAGACACAACCAGTCAAGCAATAACAGTGGTACTTTATACAGACACAGTGAGTGGTTGTTGATGGATTGTGCTAATACTTGACATAATGTTGTGTTCTGTGATTCATACAGGAGTTGAAGAAGAAGAATGGGAACATTGTCAAAATCATCAGAACTGATATGATCAAAAGACATGTCATTATTATATGATTTCCATTTAACCTCAGGATTTTGATAGAAATATGAGAGGTGACAAGTCTTAAACCCAAACAATAGATTCTTTTTACACTGTAAGTCAAGTTGTTGTTCATTAAAATACTGTTGATAGCTCTCATGTTCAAGGTGAGTTAGACCGGCTACAAACCTCAGACACATTCGAAAGTGATCATCATCAAAGTGATCCTTAAATACTTCCTCTGTCTTCTTCTCATGCTTAGCTATCCACCATGCAGCTAGAAATTCCTGTATACTCAAGTGAAGGAACTGGTAATTCTCCTCATCATATTCTGTGAATGTTGTCATCAATCCAAGATAGTCTTCCTTGACTGCCTCACTCAGTGACTGTAGTTGATGTGAAGAGAATGTCATTCTTGTATTAGCCAGGTTAGTATAAGCTAATTGACACA